CAGAGGTCACACACGGGATATGGTGTGGCGTGTATGGCAGCTAATACAGAACAGAATTGCGAGATAGTAAGATCCGTCGCAATAGTAAGCCTCTAGCGTTGGAACACCTCTCCTCTGTAACAAAGCCAGAGCCAGTAACAAAGCCAGCTCCTCTCATCCAGAAGCCAGACAGAGCGACTATCGCCCTGACTACAGGGTCAAGAGTCACCGTCAGTTGACTCAAGGACAGATAAATTCATCTTCGAGTAGGTAACGCTGCCAAACTCAGAACAGGCGGCAGCCGGGGCCGACAGCCGGTAGCCGGGGCTACCAGGAGGCAGGCGGCACACAGCTGCAGCGCGTTTGCAACATGGCCAATAAGCGGGGACCAGTGCCGAATATCAGCTGTCGCAGTCGCGGCGACCGTTGGTCCCCTCGCTCCGCACATGTCTCGCCACCCGTTCGGTGGGCGTCAAAGGCAGCTTCACGGGGTGCCTGGGAAGGGCAGAGGACCAGCTGGAAGGCAGGCAAGCGTCTGATAAGTGGAGTGGGAAAGGGAGCGAGGAGAGAGGGAGGATGAGAGAAAGAATAAGAAAGCGAAATAGAAACAGACAGAGAAAGAGAGAGAAAAGAGAAGGGGAGGATGTAGACTAAAGATGAGCAGCGAAGGAATCTCTCTGTCACATTAGCCTCTGATCGGCTCTGACCCAGCTCCAGCCACCTCTCCGTCCCAGCCCACAGGACCTCTGGAGGCGTCGCTCGGCCCAGCCCCGAGGAGCGGCACGCGGGCCATGATCGATGGAGTAGCGCCGCGGGCCGCCGGCCGGCCTAGGTGCCAGTGCCGCCGGGCGCGGGCGGCACGGCGCCGCTCGGCCGGCCGAACAAACGGCGTGATTACACGGCGCGGCCGGCCGGTGACGGAGCGCGCCGTCGGTGGTTACGGGGCGGCCACAGGACGGTTACGGGGCGGCCACAGGGCAGTTACGGGATGGCCACAGGGCGGTTACGGGATGGCCACAGGACGGTGACGGAGCGGCCACAGGACGGTCACGGGACGATACAGGACGGCCGCAGTCTCACAGACCACAGGTCGGTAAGAGGTCTGCTTCGACAGTCACTGATGACAGACTGACATTGCGGACACGCCGAAAGCAACGTACTAATACGCAATTGAAGCGTAAATTGAAGCTAAAAAGCTAAGCCGCGAAAGACATAGCAGCATAACTTCTGGAATGACTTTCTTTCTCATTTAGCAACCAAAGCGGAGCGGTGAGGCGCGGGACCTCCGAGCTGCGTGTCGCAGCGCCGGCGGCCCGCCGACCACCCCGGCCTCCGTCGGCCAGGTCAAAGGTCAGGGGTCAGCAGGGGTCAGCGGCCGCCGGCGGCGGGCCGGCTGTCGCCGCGCGCGGTCGATACACGACGCCGGCCGACCGCCGCCATTGCCGAGAGCAGGATCCGGGTCATGCCGCGGTGCCACCCTCGTGAGACGCAGCCCAGACGGAGGTGTTGTTCCGGGACCTCATCAGCATCGGTGGAAAATCAGAATAAAACTAAACCAAATCATATCACCGTCGCACCACACTCGCTTATTTAGTTGAGTTGGACGAGAAAAGGAATCAAAGCGAATTCACAATGTGATCTCAGCTTGTACGACTATTCAAATCCGTAACCAAGTCCAACCAAAATCAATCACACTGCTAATGCTATCAAATTTCAATAAAATATAAACCAACTTTAAATATAAAATCACAATAAAAAGAAATCAAAATAAATTATATTCCGAATTCGGCTCAAACGAAATCCAAAGGGGTCACGATACGAGACACGTGGATCACATCTTCATTCGAATCTAGCTCATACCGCTTCTGCGTCTGAAGCCCGGCAGTGCGGTTCAGAGCTTGTTTCAGCAGAAATGTGCAACTATTTAACCCAGCGTGGCCATTCCATACACTTTAAAAGAATTTCATCAGAAACAATCATCTTTGCCCAATTAGCAGCGCTACATTCATCCACACGCTAGGCATTTCTCATCGATCAAATATCAAAATTATTGAATGGACATTGCACAACGCACATTACATATATAAAACGCCATCATATCAGAAAACTGTGCCCTACTGGAGCAATGCCTACGATTTTCACTTCTGATATTACATGAAATCATTTATAATGGTGCGCTGCATGGTGCACAGATCACAGCGTCAGGTCTGCACCATTCCCTGGCGTGGACAGTGCTCGGACGGGCAGGTAGCCCCAGAGGGAGCCCGTGCTGCCCCGGGTCGGATCGGGGAGGGACAGGGAGGGTAGGAGAGGGACTCGGAGGTGGGGAGGGACGACACCGCCGCAGCTGTCGGCCGGCCCTGTCGCCGGCGACAGTTGGTGACAGCGCGGGCCAGGTGTCGCCCAACAGCCCATGTCTCGGTGTATGTCCGCATAGCAGCGTCTCCGGAAAACTCGCGTCTGTCTTATGGCCGGCATCATTAGTGAGTTGCGCTATCATCGTTGATGTTGTTATAAATCCTCCTAATCAACTAATGAAACAGCCGCCGACTTTGGCTCCAGTTTCGTTAGGCTGCCAGATCCCTGTTTAGACAGGGAGAAGTTCGCGTAAATCGATCGCAAGAGTACCGCGGCCGGGACGTTAGATAGCCCTCGCTATGCCTGCAGTGCATAGAGCACGAGATCATACAACCCAAAAGGCGGTCTGGAAGCGGTACCGTCACCTAGTCGATCAGACCATGTACCCGATTTAGCTTATCAATCAATCGAGGCGCCCGTAAACTAACATCACCACGAGTCCAGACACCCGACATCCAGGCGACAATGTCCCTCGTCACCCAGGCGCCCGCGACATCGGCCAGCAGGCCATGTTACATGGTCCCGGGACAGATAGAGGCCCACTCCCACCACCGCGCTCCACAGATGTTTGACCACGAGCCAAATACTCCGCAAAACAAACACGGTCGCTGCCAGGTACATACGTCTCTCGTCCTTCACCCGAGCTCGGGCTGAGTCACCGGAGCGATCGCCGCGGCCCGGGCATACCACAGCCATGTGGCTCCGCCGGCTCCCCGGCCGGCCGCTCACCGGGCCCGGAGGTCGCCGGGCAGCGACACCGCGACGCCGCGGAACCTCAGGCCACCGCTCGGACGATGCCCTCGCGCGGCGTCTTCCTCAGGGTCCCTCCAAATCGCGTCACCGGATCCGCCCCCTGCCGACGAGCTGGCTCCCTCACCGGCGCCCCTTCCGTGCGCGCGAGCTCCGGTTACCAAGTACCTGTCTGTTGGGCGACGGGGAGCCTCCCGTCCCGCCCCGTACCGTGCCGTACCGTCGCGTCCCGTACCGTCTCCACAGGCACAGGGGTATGCACGCCTGAAGTCCATATCGTACCTAATCAGCAAGCACACCGAGCCCCTCTTTTGGCTAGCACTGTCCCCACACTGCGTCTCGGCGTCAGACGATTGAGTTCGAAGCGAAGCCAAGTGAGAAAGGATTGGGTATGCAATGCATGATTTTATTTCCAATGGGTCGGTCCCGCTTTGCAGTTCACGAGAGCTTCTAATGTTCAGTGGATGTTACGGCATGCAAGCTTCAGGAGTAACACATACAAGGAAGGAGATACACGGGAAAAGACAAGCGAAGGAACAGCGCGACAGCGAACAGATAAGTCCCTTATCCCCAACTTATCCCCAAGCTCTCTTTGTCCCGGGACGACCTGTGGTACCCGCCAGAGGTCAGTGCTCCAGAGTGACGGTCACACCTGTCCGGAATGCCGCACAGGGGGACAGTCGAGGCCGCCTCAGGTTGGAGGTCATCTCACCGAGGCGACACGTTACGCGACGGAAAATGCGATGGTATTGATAGACGGGCGACGTTTTAGGGCGCCGTGGCGTCAGAATGTGACAGGAAACGGGGCGGGTGGGGCAGTGTAGCGTCTGGTGTGAGTGGGACTGACAGGATGAAATGGCCGTGAATACAGAGGCAGCGCGGAATTCAGAGCCCGCCCGACGGCTGGGAATGAAGTTTTAGTCCGACCACACCGTTAGTCTGGTATCTTAACCAGACCAGCTGCGGCTCCGTTTTTCGAACCACCAAATAACGTCTGTTCCGACCCCTCTATTCAGCTGTCGCTCTCTATTGTCCTACCCGGCAGTTAGCCAATTTTCTCGAGCCATCCCCACCCTTCCTCACGCCCCACGAGCACAAAAACGTCCCCCACTCCCTCCGTACGCCCTGTGAACAAAAAACTATCGATCCCTGGGGAGCAGGACCTCGGAAAAAAAAACTGGCGTTGAGTTTGTCTCGCAGATCCCACAACAACTGAGATAAATACATGTTTGCCCGCTCCAACATATACATGAACACGTGCAGCGGTGTAGTCAACGTTACGTTGTGTCTCTGCGGTAAACGTTATCATTCATAGGACAAATTCCCACTGAGAACATCGCTATCGATGAGGTAAAAAGGCCTCGCGTTCGGGCGCCTAAAATTGGAAAGACGCCACACAGTTTCGAAGACGGCGTGCGTTGCGTTACGCAAGTTTTCAGACTTCACATGCAACGCTAAATATTGCGGCATAAATCAGGCAGGTCCCTTGTTTGTTGAATGGATAGAGGGCTTATATTAATATTGCGCTGAGTGATCATTGTCTTAGGCACACAAGACGCACTTTAGCGAAGACAATCTTCCACTTCCCCACAGAACTAAACAAACGCAGGTGAGGACGCTCTCAGGTGGTGCCAAGAGTCATCTACTGGCACCGTGTCACCTCTTATCGACAGATACACAGCACACACATGCACAGTTATACACACGTCATCACAGAGCCCAGCCGACAAGCAACACTTCACAAATGACACTAAGTGACTTAGGACAGCACCGAAAAGCACACAAGTGTTAGAGAGAAGAACAAAACACCGTTCCAATAAAGCCTAAATTACCACCCCATATCCTCACGGTTAAAGCAGCACAGCAGTGCCCCCCCCCCCTCCCCCGCTCCCTCACTAAAGTACGGTACTCACCGGGTCCGGAGGAGCGGCTGCGCGTGTTCTTCACCGTCACCCAGAAATCGATACTCTTCTCCGGGCCGAGCTCCTCGTAGTCCCACTTCTTCTTCACCTTGACCTGGCCGTTCGGCTCGACCGTCACCCACGGGTTCTCGTCGCGAATCTTGAACGTCTCCGACTCAACCTCCTTGGTCAGGATGAACATCTCCTTGCCCACCTGGTTGCCGTCCTTCTCGCGGAACTCGAGCCGTTTGGTGGGACGCACGGCGCGGCGCACGCGGCGCTTGGCGATCCGGTGCTCGTCATCGGCTGCCGAGACGTCGGCCTTCTCACCCTCATCGGGCGTCAGGCCGAACTCGACGTGCACGCGGGCCGGGGCGCTGGTATGGTACCGACGGCCGTCTCGCACGTCGCTGGCCGACACGAGGAGTTCGTAGGCCTTGGCGCGCGGCGCGCCGGCCAGCAGGATCCTGCCGGTCAGCGGCTCCACGACGAACACCTCGCTGGGCGCCGCCAGCTGGAAGCTGATCCGATCGCCGTCAGCGTCAGCCGCCTCCAGCCGGCCCACCTCGGCCATGTGCGGCGTCGACAGCGGCGCCGCGAAGGTGAACAGCTCGCGCGCCAGCACGGGCACGTTGTCGTTGCGGTCGATCACGTGCACGAGCACGTGGCAGGCGGCGCGCTCGTCGGCTGCGGCCAGCTCGATGGTGATCTCGTGGCGCGCGCGCTGCTCGCGGTCGAGCGGCGCGGCCGTCACCAGGCGCACGCCGGTCGCCGCGCCCCGCCGCGGCTCCAGCCGGAACAGGTCGTCCGGGTCTCCGGCTATCAGGCTGTACCGGGCCTCCGGGGCGGCGCCGCCACCTGCCACGATGGCGCCGGCACCCTCCACGTCCGCGCCGGCCGGCTCGTTCTCAAACACGTGCGCCTCGTAGAGTTCATGGTCGCAGTGGAGCGGACCGCCGGGCGGGCGCACTCGCACCTCCAGCGGCACCAGCTCGCCGCCGCGCTCGGCCTGCAGCGGCACACGCGCGCCGGCCAGGTCCTGGAGCGGCAGCACGGTCATCAGCCGGCCGCCGGTGACCATCGCGAACCGCTCACTGTACTCTGAGGGCAGCAGCACCGCGCCAGAGCCCAGAGTCGTCACTATGTGTCCCACCGGAGCGTCGGCCGGCGCGTTCAGACGCCGCACCGGCTGCGGCGGCTCCTCCAGCACGGCCGATGCGGCCGCCGGCGGCCACAGCGCCGCGCCGCCGAGAACGACGGACAGTAACAACAGCGGCAGAGGCGGCGCCATGGCTCGGCCACGCGAGGCCGCCATCACGGCGCGCAGGGTCGCTCCTCGGGCCGGAGAAACGGTCCGGCGCTGGGGATCACGACGGTGACTTCAGCAGGGCCTGTGGAACAGAGCACGTGATGTCAGCCGGGCTGGCAGCATGGTCAGGAGAGTCAGCGGGAGTGGCGGACTAGGCTGAGCTAGGATGAAAAACTTGGGGTGCACAAGAGAATGCCCTGAACTGAAAACAATGTGTACGAAACCAATGCTAGGCAATGAGACAAATCCAGAATAACGGTCGAGAAATGCAAAACTAACAAGAAACCGTTTGCTAGCCTGAATCACGAAATTTCACACGTCCTCAAAGTAATTATCCTCTCGTAGGTAATTTGACAAATCGACGGCCAATAAAACCTCACAAGAGTCTACTAGAGATTGACACCATGGGCTCGTTGGACGTGTTATCTGGAATCTACGATCAGCAGCTGTGTGACGGACGGCACGGAGACTAGTTCGACCGGGAGGTCCACGTCGCCTACTGAACGCCCGATTAAGGACGGGGGAACGTGGACAGAGGGACGGGACAAGAGAGAGAGAGAGGGTGAGATAAGAGGGAGGGGAGGGACGGGGAGAAAGAAGAGAGGAGAGGAATCGTCAAACGACGATGCTCCAAGCGACCGTCGTGACACCGCAAAAAGTTTGCGACGGACAAAACAGCACCCCATTCCGATCATATTGGGGAAAAATATGGACTAGCCAGTGGCATGTTCAGCCAGAGGCCTCCGACCGATCGGCGCTTCACGCAGCCACGACGATCCATGATCCGTAATTGGTGATCCGTGATCTGTGCGATCCCAGCGCCCCGTGCACGACCGACGTGATGAGTACCAGACGCGACCCGTGCGCCGGCCGTGAGCCTATGTCATCAGTCCGGGCTGCGTCACATAACGCTGATCGCCCAGCGGCTGGCCGTGCCAAGAGCAGTGCATTCCGCGGCCGCGCTGCTGGTGACACAGGACCGCCGGCCGACAGCCAACGGAGGTCAGGGCTGGCACAGCTCTCTGTGGCCAGCTGGGGGGATGCCGCCGGCCGGCAGTGGGGTCGGATTGTCCCGAGCCAGCTAGGCTGTCAACTGAACACGGTGTGCTGTTGGTATCTGTCAGGGAACCGGCGGACGTGGAAATCGTAACGAGACAAGCGCACTGAAATGTAAGGATTCAAATGTTATCAGCATACCATGCACCTGACAATGCAGTACCTATCCCCTGCCATCACGTCGCCCAAAAGTCGTGCTTGACGACAGGTAAAATTCACGCCTTTCCGACAGAGACTGACAGCGACTCGATTCAGTGATCCCGCGTGGTCACTGGGTCGCCTCTGTATCCCGATCGACACCATCCATTGATCCAATTTGTGAGCGACGCCCTCGATTATTCCCGGCCTCTTGTGAGCGCGGCAGCATTCGTCAGTGCAAGAAAACAGCTCAGGGAGGCATCAAACGACATATAGAGGAACAGACAGCAGGACAATGATTTGTGGGTCAGTAATTCAGCTAAATCCTATATCAAAATTGGGTTCCAGCCTCAGACAAGAGTTGACAAAATCAGCCTATCACTGGGCAAAAGTTCAGCTTGAAATATGGTTACATATTGACATAGATGGAAAATGATATAATTGCTGAAAACCAATAGGTAGATTTAGAAAAGAGATATGCTATGGGTATGGAGCAAGATAATTGCAGCTGGCAATAGGGTCAAAATGATGAAGTTCACAACAAACACAAAATATAATCACAAGCTCATATGGTGACTCAATTAGGGGCCAAGGCAGGAGCCTTAGGTATATCAGTATGCACAATGCACATGTTTTACATTTACTTGATAGGGTGATGCATGATCAGACAGGAAAAGTAGTGATATCCTTATTCATATTAGGTAATTAAAAAAGGTAGACAAGCAAGTGCAGAGCTTCAGTCTCACAATATTCTCACAGCTTCCTTTAATAAAGGGTCAAGGCAGAGGTGAAAGATGTGATCCGCAAGTGCACAAGCTTGGAATTACTATGTAGCACGTAGACATTTTCCCAGTATTGAGATCTTGAAAAGGATAGGTATAAACTCAACTCAACAGATTCCGCCAGCATTGCATTACCTACGTCAAACTGTGAAGAAAAAAATGTAAAAATTTGATGCAACAGCATACCTATCCAGAAAAGCTCTCATTCACATTGACATGAACTAAGACACAGGGATTATAAATACATTTGCACAAAATGCTTGTGTGCATTTTGCACAATTTGAAAATATGCATCAAAGTTATCAACTGAACCATACTATGTCCATCACCATTACCCAGGCTCAAACTGATAGGTATCATTCAAATATTGGTATTAGTAGAGCAGACATCACACGAAGGTTTTCGACGTCTGCTCTACTAATGCCCAAATATCAAGCCAAATCAGCATGCATTCCATGCAATCATTGAGGTTTGGCACTGAATTGGAATATGTCAAGCATGAAGCATGCTGATGCTGCAGGTTCACAGGCACCTGTACAGCAGGATGCAAGATCACTCATTTGCCATATTTTGGCAATATCGGCAACATGTCATGCACACCTGACTGACAGAAACGCCGGCAGCAGAAGGATCGTTGATCAGACCGAGAATGAGAACCAGGAATAATGAAATGCAAGGCAAGGTTCCTTCTTCACCCTACCCAGACAAGCAATCAAGCTAACAACAAAGCCCCAGCCAACAGTCCCTACATTGTAAAACCTCGAATGTTCTTGCAGATTCACTCGAAATCCCTCTTCTATGCGGAGCACCACTGACACAGCCCACCTCACACGGTCACCTCGCGTCAATACTCGCCGGCCCGCATCAAACAATTTCAAAGGAGCTGCTGGTGCTGCCATCAAGCGGACACCGATGCAACTATGAGTGGAAAATGGCGGAGCTACGGAAAGGGATAGGGCTACTAAAATAACATATACACCTTTACAGCCTAGTGCTATCATTTCATTGTGGAGATTGAATGACCTAACACGACAAAAGGGACCAAAGAACAGCTAATAATAGAAACAATGAAAAAAGAACATCAAGTTAAATGATACATTTAATAAAAAGGGTGATTATATAGCGTTGTTTACCTATTTTACCACGGTCTCGTTCACGCCGGGCATCAGCCGCGACACCTATAAAAGTTTATGAGCGGCTCTAGCGCCACCGTGAGTGATATTGGGCTCCCAAATCACAGATCGGTGAGCTGTCGAGTGTCTGCACGTCGGTGTTATCCATGCACACCTGTGATCAGTGATCTTAGAGAGCTAGGTATTCATATATACACTACCTACTGGTATATACATACATACAGTAACACTGGCGGATCCAGAATAGCGGTTTCTGACTCTGCGGCGGGCACATACCCGAAAAGATTCGTCCAAATAAAAAGCCATATCGGATTTCAATTCGCACTACCCTGCCCGCGCCGCGCTGGTGGCCTGAAATCAGTAGGTAGGTAGTGGCGGAACACCTTCAATTAAGGGGGGGGAACACTGCCGACTTTTGGTCCCATTCTTTCCCTGCAACGATGCTAAAATCAAAGGGGGGCACGGTGCCCCGGTGCCCTCCCCGTTCCGCCGCCTATGCCTGAACTTTCCGCCGAGTGCTGGGGGGGCGTTTTTACGCCCCCGTCTAACTCGGCTTCTGGGCCACGTAGCGACACGCGGTAAGCGGTAATTGAAAGAGCGTCACGAATAAGGAAGAAAACACTTCGGTCATTTTTAAGGTCAGGTCAAAGGTCAGGTCACCAGAGTTCATCAAAGGTCAAATTTAGTCCATTTCAATAATTTTGGAAACTGCCAACGTCTAACTCGGGAACTGCAGTTGAGCTACAGCACCGCGGAAAAGCGCATTCGATGGTCCCATTACAGACCTTTCTGAGTACCTACCTAATGTTCTCAGATTTACCTCAGGTCAACGGTTTAGCCTCAACGAGGGCAAAAACTGTAAAAATAGCTGTTTTCACGAAAAATGTTGTTCGGCAATAACTTGTCTCTAGAAATAGGTCACAGTGACAGGTCAAAGGTCATTTGGGTCAGGGTCATGAAATTTTATGGGTAGGTAGGTAGGGGAGAGCGGGGAGAGTTGTATCATGTCCAAGTTGTATCAGGGCGAATTGTGCCAAACATATCCAATAGATGGCGATCGTGACACGACCAGCCGACAAGGTTTTCCGGGCTCCATCTTTCCCTGTTCTGTCGTGTGGCTGGGTGGACGCGTCTCGAGGTGAGAGCCGATTTTATGTTTTTTTTTAATGTCATTCTAAAAAAAATAAGTTGCAAGAAAATGTGTGTTTTGGGCATTTAAATGTGCACGAATTTGAAAGATCTCCGTAGCGGTGGTGAGGGCAGGTTCTAAGGCTGCGTGAGTGAAAATGGATTTCTCCAGCTCTCCGCTGTTTTTGAGCACGAGGATGTTTTTCCAAGACGGCGGCGAGGTACATGTTGTATCAGAGCCGGGTGGGGTATGTTGTAACATGTATGTATGTATGTATGTATGGGTATGTTGCTGTTGATCGCAAAAGCTAAGCCCTGGCTGGCGTTTGTAGGTAGCTAGTCAATACTCGTTCCATTTCGGCACGATGTGTTGGCTTCTTTGCTCTTAACGGGCCACTTTTGCGTCTACTCTATTAATGTTTCGTTGGTTTCGATGTTTCGTTCGGATTGACCTAAGTTTGGTCTATTAAAAGTGAAGCCTTTGAGCATATACATTGTATTAACCCCATTTAATGTTGTTGTTATGTTCAAAACCAGTAGTAAGCACACTCCCTGAAACGTGAAATAGTGATACAAATTACCCCACCATGTGATACAACTCACCCAAGCCATGGGGCAAGTTGTATCAAAAACATTGTTCTATTCGGCAGACCGTAGATTAAAAACTGGTAGAGGTAGCGGAAAAGTTACTTTGCACAAAAAAGCAGAAGAATCAAGGAAGGAGATAGTATGGAAATAATGAGTTTATCACGGATAGTTACGAGGTTATGGGTCTCGGAGTAAAAACTGATACAACCCACCCCACTCTCCCCTACCTATGGGTGTGAATCGAGGGCCTACTGAAAGTTTCGTCGCGATCGGCCGCTTTTTACGCGAGTTATTCGCGAAAACCCTTAGGAAGGGGGTTGCATCAACCCCCTTCCCCCGGTGCTGGCGAGGCGAGGGTTAAAGTAAAACCTAAGGATGTAAGACACATTTTAACCCTCGCCGGCCGACGGGGGTGGGTGTAGGGGAGAGCGGGGCCAGTTGAAACACGGGGTCAGATGAAACATGGCTTTATTTTCAACAGTATGCAACATATGGCGTTGCCGACACCACTGCGCATCCGCGCTCGACCACTTCCTTTGTCAACGGCGTTTGGGCGGCAAACGGACGGTAGTTTTGATTTGACACTTGTTTTTGTGTTTTTGAGGGGCGTTTGGGAGAAATCGTTCTTATGAATATTTTGTGATATCTCATATACCTTTGTTTTCTGAAAGAAGAACTCCTGGCTCCGGAATAACACCTTATTTGGCCCTTCATATTCAGCATGATGCCGTCCCTCCAGCTCGTTTGACATGTGCTTTACGGCGCGTGCGAGATGGCGGGAGCGGATGGGGTCAATTGAAACACTTCTCTGAGGGTCAGTTGAAACAGGGCCACAGGCCGTTTCAATGGACCCCGGTGACCTTTGCAATGGTTATTGTTCAGGGGCTGTAAACATTAAAGGAAATAGTCCACCTTTGAAATGAGCTTTTAAACTGAAATAGTAGTTAAATAGAGCTCAATTTCTGACCCCTTTTTCTCCAGCCTTTTGCTTGAAAGCAAACTATAGCCTGAGATATTTCTCATTTTTCTCATCCGCCCATTTTACCATAGTCTATGTACTTTATGTCACCTATTATGAGGAACTTTGCACTTTTAGCTTTCCAACGACCTATTGAATGTAGCATTTGGAAAAGTAAACCGGACAAAATATCTCCTTAAGAAAGTGGCCTTAAAGAGGAAAACATCCCATTGTTAAGGATAGGTGCAATTGACCCCATGGGCTGGTTCAATTGACCCTCGCATCGGGGTCATTTGAAACGGGCGTAGAGCTGTTTTATAAGCATGCGTTTGCAGCAAAATATTTTTGAAACATAATTTTACATATCTTAAAATAAAGCCAAAAGAGCATATTTTTTCATTGCATTGTGCATTTTTCGAAATGACAACTAGATCTCGCTGTGCATGTCAATATATAAAAAGTGGTTCAACTGGCCCCGCTCTCCCCTACAACCCCCCCCCCCCCCCCAGGTTTTTTTTTTTCGCGATAGCTCCGAACGCGCTGGCGATAGAGAGCTGAAACTGGACATCCCTGACCTTTAATTCAAGCCGGATCTTTTGATACCAGCCGCATTTTCCGGTCAAGTCAGGTCACTGACCTATGACGTCATAAGTGAACCTCTGCACGGTCTTCAGATGTCGCAAATTCGCAACGCCCTCACTGCCAGAGGAGCTTTCACAGGGAAATGAAACTTGCAGGACCTAGTATCCATTACGAGTCTCACAACTTGTATATCTCGGATTTTTCCGGTAATATGAGGTCAGGTCAATTTCGTGACTTGACCATTACCTGGTCCTATAAGTCAATGGGGAAAAATGAAAACTGCTCATCTGACGCCGGAAACGATCCCCAACTATCTCAATCACACAAAATCGTGATTTATGCACTCCTTGCAAGGCTTGATGCGTCACTTTTGCTATGTTGACGTTGCGTGACGTCATTTATGATGTCATTAGGGTTATAGGTATTAGTTTTTCGTCAATAACTCCCGATCAAATGGAGCTAGCGAGTCGGGAAAGCCACCAATGGACTCAGGAAGACCTGCCGAATCGAATGATATGCGACATGCCCCGTCGACCAATTTCGAGACCTGGGGGCGCTGACCTGACAGTGAGCTGAGGTCAACACCCTAAGGTGACCTCACCCAAACAAAAAGTATAACATTCGACGCGCATGAGCGAGGCAAACATGATGCTGCCAAAATCGCGGCTCTACGGCCGTTTTTTATTGCAAAGTTATTCACCAAAAACGGAACCGTACCTAGGTACCTAAGGGCACTTGACCTGAACTCAGAGATCACCAGTTGACCTAGGACCTTAACCCTCGCCGGCCGAGGGGGGGGGGCGGGTGCCCCCCCCCCATAGGGTTTTTTCGCGATAGCTCCGAACACGCTGGCGATAGAAAGCTGAAACTTGGCATACCTGACCTTTGATCCAAGCCGGATCTTTTGACACCAACCGCATTTTTGGGTCAGGTCAGGTCACTGACCTATGAGGCTATGACGTCATAAGTGAACCTCTGCACGGTCTTCAGATGTCGCAACTTCGCAACGCCCTCACTGCCAGAGGAGATGTCACAGGGAAATGAAACTTGCAGGATCTAGTATCCATTATGAGTCCCACAACTTGTAAGGTTGTTTTATGAGGTCAGGTCATTTTCGTGACCTCACCATTACCTATAAGTCAATGGGGAAAAATGAAAACTGCTATTCTGGCGCCGGGAACGATCTCCAACTATCTCAAGCACACAGAATAGTGATTTGATGCACTCCTTGCAAGGTTAGATGCGTCACTTTTGCAATGTTGACCTTGCGTGACGTCATTTATGACGTCATCAAGGTCATATTAGTTTTTCGTCAATAACTCTTGATCAAATTGAGCTAGCGAGTCGGGAAAGCCACCAATGGACTCAGGAAGACCTGCCGAATCGAATGATATGCGACATGACCTTTTTCGACCAACTTCGTGACCTGGGGGTGCTGACCTGACCTTA